GGCAGCTTCGGAACCTACTCAGCAGGTACGATGCTCGCCCAGCAGCCCCAGCCTGGGAAGGAGGATGTTGTTGGTTTAAACTCGAGTCTTTCGAATGTTCTTCTTTTAACTTTTCAGACAAGATTGTTTTCCTCCCCTTTAAAAAATGTTTTTCTAAAAATAAAGCTCAACATAAATGTTTTAAGATCAGATTTGCGGCGAAACCGTTGTAATTTTCACCATATGTCGCCACAGCGGCTTGTAGATTTTCTTTTTTTAAATAAGTATTTCCACTGAAGAGACCAAAAATAAAAATCTAATATGAAAATGTATTCTTCCCAAAGCGTTTCCCTCCTGTGGGCCGTTTTACGGCTCCCAAATAAATCTTTAAGGTTGCGGGGGGGGGGGGGGGGGGGGCTGGGAGGGAGGGGTGCAAAAGTGCCCTGATGACGGAAAAGCAAGTCCTGCCATGATAATGTCCTTTATTAATATTATAGATGTGCAGTGTGCTAGATGGATCAATCGTATCCATTCACAATCAGGATTAAGAGAGCCTATTTTAATGAAAATCTATTAGTCTCTCACTTGAGACACGGATGTTACTTAAATCAATAAACAGCATAAAAGAGAATGCGACGCATGTTTCTAAATTAAAAAAAGAAAAAAATCCCATCTATGAAATGTGTTAAGATGTCTGTAAAATCCTGAACCCCTCGATCGATGTTTATAAATATTTAATGTTAGGGTTTGTTTTCCTTTTTTTTTTTTTTTTTAAAACACAAATTGAAAACCATTAACACTGCATCCATTCTTATTATTAAAACAAATTGTTCTTGGAATTATATGCTGTGGAAATGGAGCCAGATTGAAAGAGCACCCTCTGAAATATGTTTACCCGCTTTCATGTAAACCAATAAAAATCTGCAGGAGTCTGTAGCGTGAGCAGGAAGGTTTGATGTACAATGTCCATGATTACAGTCTCTGAATTAATCACGAGAGAGAAGGAGGGAGGGAGGAAGGGAGGGAAACGGGGAGAGGGGACTCAGTTATCTACTCAACAAACTCTAGTTCTTCTGGTCAGCGCTTATTAAAGCGTGGTTTAAATCCGTGATTTTTCCTGTTTGTTTATTTGCCCCTTTTCGACCAAAATAAGCTGAATCCGGGGGGGAAGCGAGAAGGGAAATAGGTCTCGCCCTACGTCACACCATGAGCAAATATACAAATGTAAATTCCTCTTATAAATATGAAATCCAATACTTCTCCTTGGAAATGCTTAAAGCTAATGAGACTCTCAAACTCATTCATAATCATCCCTCTCCTCTAACTCGGAGAAAAACCACGGTGGTCAAGAGGTTCCTTTGAAAAAGGAGTAAAAACTAACACGTGTGTCGGTACCGCTTTAAATAAGCCCTCTTCTGCGACACCGGGTAGGGGGCTTTTCCCTGCCAGAGCTAGATTCCCGGCTCCTAAAGGTCCCCTCGCATTCCTGTCCCACCGGGTGGGCAGTACCCGGGGCCGGACACCGATGCCCGAGGCAGCCGGGAAGGAGGCGGCCCGGGGCGGGCTCTGCTTTGCGGTGGGGCAAGTGAGGATAAGGGAAAGAGAGGGGAGTGGAATGAGCAGGACCCCTATTTGTCAAGTTAGGAGGCCCAGCAAGGCGGAGGACTCCGGTCAGGTGCCCAGGGGCGGTGGGAAAGGAGGGAGGGAGAGAAAGATTTGGGGTCCTGATGTCCCGCAGGTGCCCCGCAGGCTACTCTGCCAGGGGAGCCCTCAACAAGCAGCTGGTGGACAGTCCTAGGAGGGACTGGGGGGAGTTGGGGAGCAAGGAGAGCGAGGTGGCTTATGCTGCCGCAAAGGGGTACCCAGGGTGCCGAGCTGAAGCCGGGGGGTACCCGGGGTGAGAAACTGATCCTAAGGCAGCTCTGAGAGGCGCTGGTGACTTCTCAGTTTTGCGACAAGGTCCCAGGAGCTCCGTGCCTGCAAGGGAATGGGGTTTGGACGGCAGCTCCTTCCCTCCCTCCCTCTCTCCCTCCCTGCCTCCTTCCCTCCCTCCATCCGTCCCTCCTCCCCAGCCCGTTATCAGGAGCAGCAATAAGCCTAATTCCCCTCTGAACTCGCAGCCAAAGTTTGCAGAGAGGTCATAAGTGCCCCCCACTTTAGCCTACACCCGCACCTCGTGCCCTAGGTGCCAGCAAGGCCGTGGACAGCACTGGGGGCCAGACCCACTCCCCGCCGCCCCGCCGGGACAGGCCGGGCTCCTCATCCCTCGCAAAGCTGCACGGATCGCGCAGTGAGACCGTGCGCGCCCGAGGGGCTGTCCGCGCCTTCCGCCGTCAGTCCCCGCGGGGGTCAGCGTCGTGGGGAGGCGGCCGGATCCCGGGGAAGGTTGCGACTATGACCTGCTGCTGCTTTTTTTTTTCTCCTTTTTTTTTTTTTTTTTTAATTTTATCATTATTTCCCTCTTTCCTCCCTCTCTCCCCCTTTTCCCTTTCCGGTGCTTTGTTTCGCTTTTCGCTTTCGGCAAGTTCCCCTCGTCTGCCGGGCTCCCCCCCGGCGGCCTCCCCGCTGCCGTCAGGGGCGAGGAGTGGCAGTGGACCACGGGTTGCCGCGCTATTTGCGCGCCCGGTGGCTGCCCCAGCCCGAGCTGCGCCCCGCGGGCTGAGGGAGCAAGGGGGGAACGGGGGACCGGCTTTTCCATCGAGCGCTTCCTAGCTGCCGGGAAGCGGAGAGAGATGGGGAGGGATGAGGGCAACGGGGCTTTTCCCTCTCTGTTTTAGGGGGGCTGGATTTGCCCCTGTGTTGGGGAGCAGAAGGGGCCCGGGGGTCTCCGGAAGAAGGGCGGACCCCCACACACGTGTGCTGCAGTCGCAGGGGGAGCCGCGGAGATGGGAGCGCGCTGGGGGCGAGGGGGAGAGAAGTCGGGTGTCCGGAGGAGGGGGTGTCAATTCACCGTGCTGAAGAGCACCCTGCCACCGCGGGACTGCGGGAGGGAGAGGGAAGCAGAGCTAGGAAATGTCTATCCACCCGTGTTTGCTTAGGGAGGTAGGACGGGGGTGGGGGGCAGACGGCGGTGCCGAGGGCTGGCGAAAGTTTCCCCGTTGGCGACTGCTCAGCTCCCCGGAGCCTCTCCGTGTCCCTGTGCCTGCGTGTGCCCGTGAACCCTTCGCCACCAGCGTGTGCGACAATCCACGCGAGCCCTTTACACGCGGGGGCTGCATGAGAGAGGCACAAGCAGCGTGTCGCGGCGGGATCCTCCCTCAGCCATACGTTACTACCGCGTCTATCGTTTGCCTTTATTATTTATGTGGTGCCGTGTGATATACATTAGAGCCTGGGATTTGATTGGCGTTTGCGATGACAAGACCTGTTTGTTAAGTTGTAAGGCGTCCTCGGCTCCCTCATTTGTTAAATGAACTCTGGAGGAAGGATGACACCGAGACACAACAATATAATAAATGTCAGAGATATCAGCAGTGCCGAGATCAAATGATCAATCCTTGTCCCCTAGATAATCATTTTAAATTTGCACAGGGGAAGATTGATTCCCCCCCCCCCCTTTTTTTAAGCCCTTTATTAATTGCTTCCCCTATTATTATTTACACACACACACCACCACCACCACCGCCCTTCCTCCTGTGGAGGTGTTAACACGGGTGCTGCGGGCACCTTTGGATTAATTAAACGTATTTTTAGTGTTTTAATGTTCTGCTAATTTTCGGAGCAGTCCCACACTCCCCCGGAACAGAAACAATGGCCCCTTGCTCCGACGAGGTTGCGACTCAGAGCAGAGGGTGGCGTGATGTTGATGGGCTCTGGTTATCCCCAGCTCGAGGTGGGAGAGGGAACGGGAAGGACGCAAAAAGCCAAACAACCAGAAGACAAAATTCCACCAAATACCAAATAACCCTCCTCGTTAAAGCTCGATGAGAGGACGCAGAAATAACTAAATAGGTGGGAAGTCGGTTCTGCGGGAGGATGAGGTGGCTCGCGGTGTCACTGGAAATGCCGCCGATGTTATCCGGGGCTGAATTTCAGGCAGCTATTCCAGCTCACGGGATTAATAATTATTACTAGAGCACAACAAAAATAACAGCAGCGTACCAAGAACAAGGTGAGGAAATTATTGCCATTCCTATCCTAAACCCGGCAGAATAAGTTTTGCTAGGGAGGAGAGGGAAAAGAAGAAAAAAAAAAAGAAAAAAGAAAAAAAAAAGAAAAAGGTGGATTTAATGCTCTATTTGTCGCGCACAAACTCTCGTGTTAACAAGTCATCCCTCTGCTGCACGCGGCAGGACAGTTCTACCGCCAAAGAAACGGTTTAGGTTTTAATTTTCCCCAGCAGTACCTTCAGACCACATAATAACATTAAACAAGAAAACAGAACCTACAACATTTACGCGTATCTAGAGAGCCCCCCTAGCCATGGATCCCCCCTTCCCCCACCCCAGGCAAGCAACCCCCTCCAAATCCTCCGAACACACCGACACGGAGCTCCGAGACACCCCATAACTTGTTTAACTGCACATGTTCCCCCACTCCCACGCACCCCCACCCGCCACAACAGGCAACACTTTTAAAACAGCATTTTCGGTTCGCCGATTTTTTTGATCATTGAATTAAGCGAAATTAGCCAAATAGCAAACCGGGTTGAATTCCCAATGACTACAACAAATGCACATCTCCGGCTTTTTATTCATTACCTTTTCTTTATTGTACATTCATTTTCTTTTCCTCTTGACAGCGATACATTTAATTGCAGGAGCATAGTTATGTGATTAGCTGTGGGTCCGTTTTTACCCTCAGTGTTGCCACGCACAGGATGTCCTTATAATCAATTAAGTCTTCCTCGACTTTCATTTCTGCAACGCGCTTACAGAATGCAGATACCTATTTTCATGTTTTCCTCTTCCCCCATCCCTCCCTTTTATTCCTCTCTCTCTCTCACTCCCCTCTCTCTCTCTCCCCCTCTTTTTCGCCGTTGCTTCTTTACTTCCCTAAATCAAGGTGCAAAGATGCCAAAGAGTGATGAAATGAAAAGAAAGCCAATTGCTGGACTGAGGTGGGGGAGATAGCTGCTCGGAGTCCGCCTGCAACTATGGAGCAGTCAGTAATTGCTGGAGACAGGGAGAGCTGGGGGCTGGGCTGAGGTAGCCATGTATAAATAGTGTGATCTCAAATTGAAAGGCATAAATAACAGCAGGAGTGATCTAACCCTATACAGCCCATCCTCTACGTGCAAAAACAGCGTGCGGAGGACGGCCACATCTCCGACTGCAAACAAGTGGATCTCTGTGGATAAGATCACCGGGCAGCCATGGAAGAACTTACGGCTTTTGTATCCAAATCTTTTGACCAGAAAAGCAAAGAGAGCAGCAGCGGCAGTGGCAGCAGCAACAAGAAGGAGACGATTACTTACAGGGAAGTTTTGGAGAGTGGGTTGGCTCGCTCTAGGGAGCTTGGAAACTCTGACTCTAACCTGCAGGACATGACCGAGAGCAGCAACCATTGCCCGGTGCATCTTTTCAAAGACCACGTAGAGAGCGACAAGGACAAACTGAAGGAGTTCAGCACAGGCAGGACGGCGGAAGGTAAGAGCGGGGCAGGGTTCCCTCGGCCCCGCGACCCTCACCGGCAGCCCCGGCCCCCTCCTCGGCCGCCCCCGGTTCTCCGCAGCAGCGCTGAGCCGACACCAGCCCCGGCCCCGGTCCCTGCGGGGGGAGCGGGCTCGCCTCCCGCATCATGCCTCCCTCCTCTGGCCGCCTCCCTCCCGCAGCGGCGGGAACATAGGCTAAGAAACACAGATGCCTGCACCATAACACGAACATAGCCGTGAAAAATAACTCGCAACTTCTGTCCTTTCCCCCCCTCTCCCCATCCCCCTTTCTCCTCGGGCCGGCCCCAGTTCACATCCGAAATCGATCCCGTGCGTTAGGCATTCGCTCGCCCCGGGGAAGGGGGCAGCGCAAGACGTCAGACATTTTTGTCTGCCTGTGTATTTTTTTACGAAGAAACCTTGTCCGGGCAGTTTTAATGCCATAAGAGACCTGCTCTTCCTGTTTCCGGGCCGTCAGGATGCTGCTGCTGCTTCTTCTGGGAGAAAGCTGGATGTGGAAAGGACTCTCCCTGGACATTTTGTCTTGTTCTGGTCAGCTTGTCCTAGTCAGAGGAAGGAGCTGCCCAGGCCCGGTGAGACAGAACATCCTCGCGGGGAGAGGTATCGGCCGGCCCTGTAGCCTGGTCCCTCGGTCCCCTCCTGCCCTTCTCACCTGGGCCCGGGCAGCACCGCATCTCTCCGGCCTGCCCGGGTCCCTAGAGCTAAAATGCCATTCCTTCCTTTAGAGCAAAGAAATTAAATTAAAAAAAACCACAATTTTTAAACCAAGCCAGCTAAAAATCCCGCATAGGCTCGCAGGGGAAGGAGAGAATAAAAAGGGCGGGGGGGATTAGAAAGTTGAGAAAGTGTTTCTAGGCAAGTTAGACAGGCGGACCTGCCTGGGGAGCTACTGGCTAGCACGGGGTAATAAAAACCGGTTAATAGGTTAGGGAACAACAACCAGTCTTTCAGCTGTTTCCTACTGTTTGATCTTGTTTAATATAACATTGGGGGAAAGGCAATTTAATTTACAGCCCAAACGCTTATTTAATATCCTCCTCTCTTCCATCCACCCTCCCCAAACAGAAGGACGGGTCATAATCCCATATTCGGGTATCCATACTTCTGCGCAAACCAGCACCGCTCAGCGCGGCTGATTTTCCTTCTCTAGTTGAGATTACGAAACGAGAGGGTTCAGTTTAGAGGAATCATCATTCGCACAGGAGGTGGTTTAAAAAATAATAATAAAAAAAAGCAGGAAAATAAAAATATATTAAAAAAATATAACGCCAACGAAGGAAAAGCCACCCATCTTTGCTACTCTCCCTTTTCCCTGTGTATCGAAATTCTGGTTGTATATTTAGCTCATCTAATCTATGGAGAGGGGCTGGGGGTGGGGATGGAAGGGAGGAGTTGGAAGGAACTGAGATGCTTGTGACAGTTTAAATTCATGCCAGGTTTCAGTCTAATTCCAACTGATTCCGGCGTGTGATTTCAGTCACACCGATGTGCTAGTTAATATTTCATGTCTATCGCGGACATGCTGTAGCCTCGGATCTCCGAAAGGAGACAGAGCTTTTGAACGCGCCTTGTTTTCCCTAGGCATTTTCTGGGTGAGAGCACCCTCGTCTTTTCATAGGGATTCCTCTTCCCAGAGAAATGTGAACAAAACGCTGTTAAACCCAAGCGGCGAACACCCCGCTCTGGAGGCTAGACCCTTACCAAAGTTTTCTGCAGCCGATATCCACCCAGGAGGAACGGTTATACGGCCAGGGACAGTTTTCTTTTGGGAAGTGAAAACGAGCTCTTCGGCTTGGGTCCCCGCCTTACTTAAGCACTGATGCGGTTCAGGACGTTTTTATTATGTTCAATTAACTTACGATCTGCAGTTAGTCATTTGGGTTTTGGGATGCCCCCAAGTACATAGGTTAATATATATGTGCATGCGCACAGTCGTGTGTATGTATACACACATATATACATAAATATAACACGTGTATTTGGTGACGGAAAAAGGATTTAACTCGGAGTTATCTGCAGATGTGGCTTCCGCCCCCTTCCCCTCAGCCCCACACGGCCCAGAATGTGAAGCAGGACAAAGGTGGCAGCCGGATCAGGCTGGTCCCCGGACTCCGCCGGTGCCCGCGCTGGATGCGCTCCCCGGGATGTGCAGGGGATCCCGAGGAACCGGTTCAAGCTCCAGAGGTGCCGCTTGCTCCAGCACCGACCCTCTTTCGTTAGCCGGATTTAAAAGAGGGCCGGTGAATTAGGCCGCCTGGAATTGAGGCAAAGAGTGCGTGTGGGGGGAAGTAAGGAAGAAAGGTAATTTGCCAAAGCAAAATAAATCCCCTTCCAAGACAAAAAAAAAAAGAAGCAACTTTTTCTCCCTTGCCTCCCCAGCCCTCCTTCCCTCTGCCCAGGAGGAGCTCTCTCCGAGCCTTCTTGGGCTCCATGAGAGCTGGGATGGGGAGTGGAATCTGCTGTTTTGGAGGGGCTGGGAGTCACCCGTGGTCCTTGAGCTGGTTCTCCCCCGCCTGCCCATCCAGGCCCGTAGCCCCGTGGGTTTCGACCTGCCGGCAAGTATTTGAGGGAAGAAGCAATGATAAGGGGGAGAAGGACTGACGGTCTCTGTCTCATGCCCATGGAAAGTTTCTTTAACGAGGCAAATATTTTCACCGTGCCTTCACTATGACAGTGGTGGGGAGCTTCTTGCATAACCCTCTCTATATTACTTTGAGAGAAAACGGCGACGGAGAACCCCCTGTCCCTCTTCTTTTCCCACGGCCTGGAAGTACCAGGGAACCGGAGGTTTTCCTACTAGCCGCTTCCCCGAGCTGCCCGTGCCAGCCGGCGGCACGGCTATCTCCTCGCCCTGTAAGGAAAATACAATTAATTTTATCGATATATATAGTTTTGCTGATGGGACATCAGCCAGGCAAGGCAGAGCTGCTCCTTCCTTTCCTCCCTTCCTCTCTCTCTTCGGCCGGCAGCCGAGGTGCCCCTGCCCCTCGCGGACCTGACAGCGGGGCTCAGCCCCGCCCGGTACCCCCGGGCCCAGCTCTCCCCTCCGGCCTGCCGAGCTTAGCCAGGCCCGGGGATCCCCCGTCCCGCTCCCGCAGGTTGGGTTGAGTTTGGGGAAGGAGAGAGGGGAGGGAGCAGCCCCCCGTGTGCTGTGGAGAGAAACTTCGGAGAGGTGAGAGGGGAAGCTCAGTGTCGTTTTTTCCTTCCCCCTCCCGGTAGGGATCTACGAGTGCAAAGAGAAGAGGGAAGATGTAAAGTCAGAAGACGAAGATGGACAGACCAAGCTCAAACAAAGGAGGAGCAGAACCAATTTCACACTAGAGCAGCTGAATGAGTTGGAAAGACTTTTTGATGAGACTCACTATCCGGATGCCTTCATGAGGGAGGAACTAAGCCAGAGGCTGGGACTGTCTGAAGCTAGGGTTCAGGTAAGAGAAAGGCTCTGTTCCTGGAACCGTCCTCATCTCACTTCCTAACTGCCAGCGGATCCTAGCACAGTGCCCCGCTTCATCCAGAGCGGGGAGGTGAAGGCAGAGACGACACGTGTGATGGGGGAAGCTGTTTGCAACTCCGCCGTACCTGTCCTGCCAAAGAGTAATTCTGCTCTGGAAATATCTGTCCGTGCCTTCCGTTTCCTAGGAAGGCGGTTTAATTTCTTTTTTTTTTTTTTCTAATATATTTTGGGGTGGTGATGGTGGGGTGGTGATAGCGTTGACAAGCCTCTAATAACTGAGCAACTAGCTATTTTTTTACAATTATTATACTTTGCCTTGCAAACGTGCCATTAACTCCCCCTTAATCCTCACTTTCTTCCCTTTCTTTCATGGGGCCGTTAAGAAAAAAAAAAAAACAAACTCCCAGGAAACAATCGCTGTGAATAAGACTAGACTGTTTGGGTGCAGAAGGACGGGATTAGCCAGAGCAGGGGGAAAGGTGCCCGCTCTGATTCGCACACAGGCATACGAATGCATGGCACCCCATCTGCTGGTGTCTCCCCTCGGCCCTCCCTGTCTGCTTCAGATACAGCTAAACACCAATTAGCCTTGGAAACCTTGAAAAAATGGTCCGGGTTGCTGCAGTTCTGGGGCCATTAGATGGGGTCTGTTTGGGTGTCTCCACATTGATTATTTTAAGATTACATTTTTAGTTTGATGTAGGGGAAAAATACCAGTCCCTTCCTCCCTTAAGCCATCTAGGGAATGCCTTCCCAAAGAGATATATGTATATATATTAAAAAAATATATAAATGTAATTAATAAGATCAACCTGTGGCTCTCTGAGCAGGCCCAGAGCAGGAGAAACCTGAAGGAAATCCCGCCTTGGGTTATAACCCTGTGTTTGGCCTAACAGACCCTAAACCAAACCAAACTCCAAGAAGAAAAAGCCACCAAGACAACCCTTCCACTGAACAAACCGCCTTCACACCCCCCGAGATAGAGGTGCACATGCAGGTGTGTAGTATCTATGCATGTGCTTGTGTGGGTATGTGTGCACAGGTGGAGGAGGTCTCCGTGCTCACCTTCATCGCCAGGGCACAGTGAGAGGAGAAACCCAGCCCCGAGCTACCGTGGGGAGAGAGGCTGGCTTGTGTGTTGTTCCCCCCCCCCCCCCCCCCCCCCCCCCAAGCATGATCCCCCCCAGGAGGAGTAGGCAGGCAGGGCTCGCTCCTCGGCAGCCCTTGCCGGAGTGAAGCACTACCTCTCTTCAAACAGCTGCCTCCTGGAGGCATTTCCTGAAATAAATAGAGTAGCTAGGTTGTTTTCCTTCTTGTTTTGGTTTATTTATTTTTATTTTAAAGGCTCTTTTCTCCCTTCAGTTCTTGCCTTTCTCAGTATAAAGTGAGCAGGGCTAGGGATGGTGCCGAGCACATGCCTTAGGAAGGGTGGCTTGCGGGGGATATTGCAGGGGTTCAGTGTGCTGCTGGTCCTACTTGCTCCTGGAAGATTGATCTAACCACAGCATATAAATTAATGAAAAGATTAAACTTTTGCTGAAGGGGACATCAACTCTTATGTCATCTTCCCAGATCTTCTTACTTGGGCTCTGTAATATCTTTCCAAGGCCTTGATGTACTGTTTCTATAAAAATAAATTACTTGTAATTGAATTCTGCACTCTTTCTTTCAAGTACTTTATTACTGAGCAGCACCTTAACAGGATGTTCATAGTTACAGGAAAATTGGTGCTTCAAGTGCTTGCAGATCTTAAAACAGCACACCAAGAAAAAAAAAAAAGGGAAAAAAGGGGAAAAGGGAAAATGGATAATTAATTGGCAAATAAGCAGAGAGTTTGATACCCATCAATACATGGAAGCAGAGAAAAGAAGTGAGGAAAAGGGAAAGTTGTTTTTTTTTAATACTTTCAGAATTGTTCTCTAATTCCTATTTGAACCGCTTGTCCCTTGCTGTTAAAGGATATAGTTTCAATTTAGTGTGGAAATTTGCTGTAAATAAATTGAAGCTCCTATGGTAGCTAGTCCTTATTAACCTTTTATTTTTAGTGTTGTACTGGAAACTCATATCACCCAGCTGTCAGGGTTATAATTGAAAGTTATGAGACCATAGTGAGGAGCAGGCAGTAATTCAATTACAACAAATATCTTTGGGTTTATGGTGCAGGGCTAAATTAAATGTCATTATTCACTGTCTCTAATGGAAATCAAAAGGAAATCAGATTAGAGCATCTGTGAAAGAAATCACTGAGTGATCCTTAATGAAGAAATAACTGTCTAAAACAGTGTACTGTGCTTTACTTAGCATATTCATGACTAATTGGAATTGATCGTGAATCACACCAAGACTGATTTATTATCGCTTAACGCAGTGGCTAATTCATCACTTTTATTCCTCATAATCTTATTTTTTCATAGCTAAAGGGAAAGGGCACTTCGTTTCCCAGATTTAAATATAATTTCTATTTGAAAGATGTTCTGATTTGCAAGAGAAGTTGTTTAAAGGCTGCTTAAATTCCTTCTGACAATTTACACTACTTTGGCGGGGGGAAGGCGTGGGGAAAACACACAAGGAGATTTCCTGCAAGCTTTTGCAATCAAAAAAAAAAAAAAAAAAAGAAAAAGTACTATTGTCTCTGAAGCTAGATGATATTTTGCATGCCAATATTTTAAAATATATATATGTAAATCCCTAACGGCCCAGTTAAAAGGAGAAGAGCTCTATGTTGTTAATACTGGGATATTGCTCGTAGGGAAAAATAGGCTGTGCCGAGCTGGGTGTTTCAGGGCAGAGAGGCGACAGCGGTGATGCGCTGGCCGCAAGCCGGCAGGGAACGGGACCGGGACTGGTCTATTTGTCGGTCTGTCGGCTTCGCTCTCTTCCCTAGCCACCCCAGGCAAGCAAAATGGTGCTCCAAACCCGAGAAGGCCAATTCCTACTTAAAAAAATCACTGATGTACCCGAGGTAATTAATGCCTTTGGAAGCCTTTCTTTGCACTAATTACTCCGTTGTAAATGACCATCATTAAGGCAACTGAAGAAAGCTTGAAGGGAAAATTTGATATAGGAAGTGCAGTTAGTATTAATTAACCGTATGAGCTCTTGGCAAGTGCAACAACATCAAAGGTTGTAGGTGTTTGCTCAGCTACAAGATTTTATCAGCGGTGAAAGTCAATGTTTGTCCATATTCGGTAGATTTTGGTGTAAGGATAAGGGCCCGAAAAACATTTTGGTCAGTGCCTCTGACAATCGTTTGGGGAGAGCAGCGAAACCGAGCACGTCGGAAGGGGAAGAGTAAGAAGGGTCTGGAATACCCTTGGAAAAGAGGCAGCCGAGGCGCAGCGGTCTGCTTTATGCTCGTTGCAGTAGGAACGGCTGGAGCTGGGGCAGGATAAGGATTGTTGGATTGCAGGCAGTTCCCGCGAATAAGCGCTTCTTTACTCCCAGCCTGCAAAGATGGTGCTCTTGTCTGTACAGGATGCTGCAGAAGAGGGGTTTGCTTTCTTTTAACGTTTGGGAAGCGAGGAATGATTTAGACCTTTCTGCTCAAATTCGGTATCTAGCATCTTCTCGGAGAGCTTCACCATTCATGTCCAAGTCCAGCTTGGGGGAGGGCAGACGGTCCGGTCCCTTAGGACCAGACCCGGAGCTCGACCTGGCCCCCGGCGGTCTGTACCCGGGATGTCCGAGGTGTCACTGGAAAGGGACCGAGGGTCCCACTCAGCCTGCGGGTGGGATTATTTTGGGTGTTTGTGGGGAAGCCCCCTCGCTCCGGGCGGGTGGCACAAACAAGGACTTCCACTGGCCGCCCGGGAGGGAAAAGGGGGCACAGAGGTCTCGGTGCGAAGCGACCGGCTCCCTGTGCCCCGGGTGTGAGGGCAATCTTCACTTCCTAGGTTCAGCTCCTGCTGAGAAACCGCAATAGAGAACAGGACCCTTCCCCCCTCCCCCGAAAAAAAAGACAGCCCCACCGCAGCACATAGATGGGTACATCCCTCTGGGCTGAGCTCCGAAGAGAGACCTCAGCAAAGTTGTGGGGAGCCCCTCGCCGCCTCCTCCTCTCCCCCTGAGAGAGCCCTCTCTCAGCAGCTGCCTAGCCTGCGTCCATATATTTCTGTCGTTTTGTTTTTGTTTGCGTTTTCTTTTCACAGGTCTGGTTCCAGAATAGGAGAGCAAAGTGTCGAAAGCAGGAAAACCAGATGCACAAAGGTGGGTCGGGGCAGCGGGCCGCAGGGAGGGGATGGCCAAGGAGCCGCGGGCGCTTCGCCACTCATCCGTCCCCGTCTCTCTCCGCAGGTGTGATCTTGGGAACCGCCAGCCATCTAGACGCCTGCAGAGTGGCCCCCTACGTGAATATGGGAGCCCTAAGGATGCCTTTCCAACAGGTAGTGAGCTCCGGGTTTATTTTCTTTCCCCCGGCAAGCTCCGACCCTCTATCCTTTGCACGGGAGGAAGCCGGACACGTTTACAAGTGCCATTTATATACAAGTTGGCACGTATTAAACTCGGGCTATAAAGCTTCGTGAAGGAGCGCTCTCCCGCCCGCCTGTCGGGAGCTCAGCGTCCCTCGGGCCCGGCGACCGGGACGAGCGGGGGAGGGGTGGCACGGCCCTGGGAGGCGCCGCCGGTGCTAAGCCCTCCTCTCCCGCTGCCGCCTGCCGTGGGCTGGCACTCAGCCTTGGGGCCTCCCGCCCTCGTGTCAGAGCCCAGCTGGCCTCCTGGGGTAGGGGAGCACCGGGGGACCCCGTGGGGACGGACTGGCCTGGTCCTGAACCGTCCAGGGTGGGCTTCGGCGCCAGAGCAGGGTGTGGGAGGAAATTCTCCCACTCGAGGGGCGAAGAGAATAAACCGTGCAAACCCTTGCGTTGCCGCTCTCCCCCTCCTTCTCCTGCGGGCTGCCGAAGCCTCTCCCGACGGCAGCGGCGCCGCTACGGGGCCCGGGCCCCCCTGAGGGAGGCCGCCTGGGAAAAACCGGACGAGGGGGTGAAATTCTGTCCCGCTTCCAGCCATCGCTTGTATCCCTCCCTCTTCTTCTTCTTCTTCTTTTTTTTTTTTTTTTGTCAATTAATCGAGGAATCGATTTTCCCAGCCCAAAGGGACCCTCCACCACCTTCTCGGTTTCAAAGACACGTGGAGCTGACAGATTAATTGTATTGATTTTTTTTTTAAGACATATTTGGACCAAAATAATTAAGTACATAAATAAATCCCCCCCCCCCCTTCCCCCTACAACTCCTTCCTGAACCTGCCCGGAGCAGAAATCTCTCAGTCAACCCCACGTCTTCGTGTAGGTCGAGCAAGCTCTAAAGCAAACACCACCCCGCTGTACAGGGGACCCGTGGCCAAAGAGTTTTTAGCAAGGTATAAACAAACATCCCTGAAAAAAAATAATTAATATATTTATATACATATATATTTATATACATATATATTAGCTATTTCGCTTTTATAGAAATATAAATTAGGTATTATATATGTTGGCTATTTAGCATATATATATATAAATAAATATATATATATAAAAACATTAGTTATTTAGCACTTGTTGGCGCCAGTGCGTTGGGCCGTATTTAACATATATATGTTAAGTTTATTTTACTTTGCACACGCACGCAGGATTAGGTGCGTCTCCGCGCCCCGCGTTCAGAGGTTTGCGGGGGTCTGCACCGACCGGTGGCTCCGGGGAGGGCGTGTGTGTGTCGGTGCTGCCCGATGTTGACGCCGTGTCTCTGCCGCCACTCCCCGTCCCCCTTCCTCTCCCCCTCCCCACGCAGGTCCAGGCCCAGCTGCAGCTGGAGGGCGTGGCCCACGCGCACCCGCACCTGCACCCGCATCTGGCGGCCCACGCTCCCTACCTGATGTTCCCGCCGCCGCCGTTCGGGCTGCCCATCGCCTCGCTGGCGGAGTCCGCTTCCGCCGCTGCCGTGGTGGCCGCCGCCGCCAAGAGCAACAGCAAGAACTCCAGCATCGCTGACCTGCGGCTGAAGGCCCGGAAGCACGCCGAGGCCCTGGGGCTCTGACACGCTTCACACCAGACCCCCCCTACGCCATACCACACCATATCCCCACCTCACCCCGGGGCGGGCGGGCGTGTGTGTGACCCGTACGGACCTCCGGTCTGACCCCGCTCATCCTCCTCTTCCTCCTCCCCGGGCTGCCCTGCCACCTTCTTGTTATTATTTTGTTTGTTTTTATTCCTTTCCCCTTTCCCAAGGTCTGCGAGCGCCCGGCGGCAGCCACCCCTCATCTCACACCTTTCCCCCCGCACCCTTGCCCCGCTTTCCTCGCCCTCTTCCCGCTCCCCAGCCCCAACGGGGACTTGTCGGCCCGGGGCGAACCGGGCGAAGAAGGGAGGCCCCGGCGGCCGTTGACGCTCAGCGCGCGCGCGCGTGTGGCGGCGCGGTTGGGGACTCGCACCCACGAGTCAGAGACTCCGCCGAGGATAAAGTAGGTGTGAGGAGAGAAAAGAGAGAGAAAAGAGAGTTAAAAAATCACCCCAAAAGGGAAAAATACTGCAAAAACAAACCACAAACCCCCCAAAAGGAAAGAAAACGATCTCTAAATTATGTTAATCTGTGAACACTGGGGACACTTTGGAATTCTTTTTGACCCTGGCAAAAGTGATCGCTCCAGCATAAACGTCACCTGCTGCTGTCAGTTTTGCTACTACCTTGTGCATGTGTCAAACGAAACACGTTTTGAAGATCAGAAATATATTAGAACTAAGCTAAACAACAGAAAAAAAACCCAAACCAACAAATAGTAATAATAATAAATAATAAATCCTTGGGGCTGGTCTCCATTAAAGATGACATTTCTTTGTTGCCAACAGTATTATTTCACTGCCATGAATCTCTTCCATCACTGAGGAGCTGCTGCAGCAGAACTGGTTTGAATTTAAATGTGGAATTTCAGATCTGAGGCAAGGCAGGTTTTTTTTTTTTGGTTTTACGTTTTTCTTTTCTTTCCTTTTAAAAAAAAAAAAAAGGAAAAGCAGCAATAACAAAAAAAATGTGCGTCTCAAATGGCCATGTCCTTTGAAAGGAGGAAAAGAATTTGCTAATTATTAGTGGTCACTTGAAAGATGGGAACAATAAGAAATGCACCTGTTTTGCCAGAATCATCTGAACTCGATGAGCTGCGTTGTGCCATAGAAACAGGTCAAGTTATTTTCATTTTTTTCTTTTCCAAAATGTCTGGATCTTTCAATCAAAATCTCTCTGTTTTTACAGGACGTAGAAAGAATGACTTATACAACAAAGATGGACATATGGTTTTAAGGCATAATACTGATGCAGCGTTAATTTTAGTGAAATGCAATTAAGTGCAGTAAAGTGCAATACTGTAAATATTATAGATTAAAAAAAATAAATAGCCGTACTTATTCTGTTAAAAACCAATTCTGCAAGAACCATGAATTAAGTCCTTTATGCTCAGACTGGTGCTTTGCAGCTCCTTGCCAAAACGACGGCCCAAGTCTTCTATGAATGGATAAAGTTACATGTATCGCATATGGGAAGAGGTAGATGCCATGATTTCTAGTCGAGTTAAATGTGCCATATTTTTTGGAAGTAAGCTGAAGAGTCTGTATGACACTTTCACAATTAGTTTAAGTCAAAGAATCCAAACCAAAACTAAAGAAACAACCTGCAAAAGTGTTTTGTAGAGGTGGACAAGTTCAATATTTGGGCATTTTAATTTTTGCCTGTGGTTTAGACCCCAAGTCTTAAGCTAATGCTTAAGCAAAGTAACTACCATAAATCCAGAAAGCATGGGGAGTAGGGAAATCCTTTAAATTACATTACCAAAGTGTCTGGGTTTACTGGCTCCCCATGTTTTACTTTTCATGGTATTCACTTCAAATTAGTTCATTATATGTTTTCTGTCTTAATTTTTGGTGGGAAGAAGGAAGTGCAAATATTGGTCTTGTCTACATCTAACAAGGATAGCTACTTGTTGCTTTTGTTACCAAGGCCTGTGCTGATGGAAGGTTATCCTCTCAATAATACTGCTGTTAAGCCTGCTTTTTATGTCTCATTTAGCAATCCATTACTAGTTTTGGCTTTTGCTGATGTTTATCAAATCCAAATATTACTGTAGGACAAAAATCCATGCTGTAGAAAAATTTTAGACACTTGTCCTCTTTTGTTATTTCTCCTTCAAGTTTTATTATTTTCCAGCAAGCATAATTTCTGGAATGTCAAAGTTGTGCCATTTCCCTTTTATTTATTATGTGAGGAGTATTTATATTTTGGATTTGCTAGAGCTGATAAATGTTACCTGCCTTTTCTACCTCTCTGTGAAACCCCAGTACCTTTTAAAAGCACGGCCAAAACATTAAGGTAGCATTACTCATTGCTGAGGAATACAGACAAAGATCTCAGGCAATTAACAATTTCTCATTGAGACAAAATATTACCTAGAAAGTAAAACATTATTCATGGTGATGTATGAATTTCTGGCTAAAATAAGAAACATTTGGAGTGGCTCCAGCACTTGTAACATATGGATCTGAAAAATAATAAACATTACTACAGAGATGCTTTAGGCTGTAGCAAGTAACCTGTTGTACTGGATACTGACAGCCATCAAAGGAGAATTCGATACACATTGTTGAGGACTGGAGGCATAAAACTGTTGCCTGAGTGGAGAGTGCTTGTTACCTGTACCTCTGATGTAATTGTTATCCTTTCAAACCGTCTTTTGAGAATTTAAGAGAGGCTTATGTGATTTTTTTTTTTTTCCCCACTCCTGTGCTGGACTTTCACAAAGGAGTGATTTTTACCCTCAAACAATTCCACAGAATGAGCTTGTTGGAGCTGTGCGTTTAGGATCTGAATTTTCTTAGACGTCTTCTAAGGGAGGCTGTGAAGTGCTACCGATCTTACAGTTGTGTTACAGGATGCACGTACAGTATGCATCTGCCTCAAATTGGAAGGAATAACTTTTCCACCTTTGCTGTTTTACTAGGTACCAACACAGCAAAAGTGCTTGTAGGTTTCTCTCAGATATTTTGCTACGTACAGTTTCTTTCTTGTATTCAAAAACCAGTGGTAACTTAAACACAGTTCCCTGCTAACATGAAACAAGGCTGGTAGTGTAACATACATCTTTTCAGAATGAAAAATTCTTACAGTTTCTTCTGATTGCTTTCAATGGATGTCTCAAGGACCATCTTGCCCTCTACTGCAGAAGGGAAGAAGGTGGCAAGGTTTGTCAGTTTAGCCTATTTTGAGAGAAGGACCATAGATCAGCCTGGGGAAAGGGTCAGGGTGTTGCTGTGAATCTACCAAGTCACTTCATGATGCTCTTGCATTCCATTTAGCATGAAAGGAAAGAGTGCACTGTGCAAGGGTTGTAGCTGAAACTGGTTCTGCTTTGCTTATTTCTCAATGGGCTAATTGCATCAGTGGTGGTATAAAAGTTTTGCCTTGTTTTGGATGATGCACTCAGGTGGCCTCCTTGTCATCCTTAACATCTCTTGAAAGAAACGTGGAGTCCTACCTGGGCTACCACGAACTGTATGTGTCCCTAAGTGTAAGTCCCTGTGGCTCCATTCACTGTGTGGAGCGCCAGGGACCCATTCAAGTTGAGAATCTGGACCAAAGCATCTGCTGCATTTCTGTTAATGTGTGGTCTTTTTTTTTTGTTTTGTTTTGTTTGCATTTACTTCATTATTTTTCTTGAGGAAGTTGGAGGTTGAAGATAAGGTAGTCAAGGTCCTAAGATACTTATTAAATCTTAAAAGTATTGTAATTGTGTTAGATTCTCAGGCATGACAAAACTCTTTGTTTTTTTTTTTTTTGTACACCATCATACAGCCTGATGCATCTTTCATTTGAGAAGTGTGAGATTTCCAAGATCACCAGAGCAGTGGCCACTGGGAAAAATTCCCTTGGAGGAGGCCTTCAGTTAGTGTATGTGGATTGCTAAAGAATCTTCCTCAAAAGTATGGTTTGGTATTTGAAAAATAACTTGAATGAATGACAATTGAATAATGCTGTTTATAAACAAGTCCATAAAAATAAAAAAAAGGCTTTATGCATGACATGGGCCCCTTTATAGTGGAAAAATAGTCTCTAATTTTTTTTGAACTGTCAAATAAGCTGAAGTACTTCATCCATTTGTATCAAAATAGCAAGCTGATTCCACGGCTCATTTTTATTGACTTGGAAACGTGAAAAAAAATTGAACTGGAATTTTTTTTTTTTGCTTAGTAAGGTCATATAGATGTAGTGGCATTTTGGTTAATAGCATAATACTTAGCATATAATGTTTATTTGCAAAGCACTGTATTATAAATGTTTATTATTTAACCCTCACCCATTATGAAGTAGATAAGAATTATTATCCCCATTTTTGTAGAAACTAAGGCATATAAATTATGGGCCAGGTTCTATGACCCATTGTCAAAACTGAGTATTATTACTTTTGGTTTTGTAATGTAGTAGCATACCCCAGATCATAATCTGACATGAACTTGCGGTGCTAGACACCTTTCAAAATTGGAGGAGAGGCCCTGCTCCAATAAATTTAAGCTCCATACCTGGTTTCAGCAAAAGTCTTAAAGGGAGCATTAAATGTGTTTCAGAGTGGCAGAATGTGTCTGTGAGTTATTTCCACAGAACACAAAGTTACTGCCCAGTCCTCTGACCCATGTGTCACTGGGAATTTACTTTGTGGCGCAGTGGGGCTGAGCTGCAGCAGTGCTAAGACTAGAACCAAAAATCTGAGTTCCCAACAGCATGCACAAATTGCTGGAAAACCCTGGTTTTCAACTTCCTCTATTATAAATTTATCACACAGCCCACATGTGCTGATGTCAATTCTTTGCATGCTCTATCTGCTATATCTTTTAGTCATGTGTTTACCTGTAAAATAAGAATAACACACGGTCTTGAATTGACATACCATTGATGCATTGTTGCCTCAAAGACAATAGACATATAGACCTATGGAAATCAGATCCCTAAGGCAAACCCAGATTATGATTTTTTTTTTCTTTTTTTGCTGACAAAACCCACACATGTTTTCTGCTCTTTTTAATGTGCTAGGCAAAAATAAATTGTTTCTCTTTTTTTTTAAACAGATAATTTTAGGTTTTGAAGACATTATTGCTTTGGAGGTGGCAGGCTTTTCCCCTCTTCATTTTGAGGAAAATTTTCAAAGTATAGGAAAAAGATTACACATCTGTCTTAGAAATGTGTTTAGTTTTATATCTAATATCTAGTGATCCAACTGGTGTCCTTGTCGTTGCTCATTCTCTACAACCCTCTAAAGTGCATGCAACCACTATGGTTGCAAATTTTTTGTGTTCCTGGTTAGAAAGGATGGTCAAAGTGCCCCACTCCTCATCTGTAAGCAGCCTACTGACCCCACTATTTTGTTTTCTTTCCCCAATGTGACAGAATTCCCATGGCTAACAAGTTTCCAAACAGCTGTGGCTAATATGGCAAGAGCTTGCTATTGTCTACTGGTTGCAGTAAGATGTGGTAGGGCCAGAGAAGGTCCGATACTGCTTGAAAATGTATATTAAAAAAAACAACCCCAAAATGCAGTGTGCTACAGAGTGTGATCTCCTCTCCTTAAGAATAGAGCCTTCTGCTTTATGACCCATGCTTTTTGTGAAACTGCATCTCTTAATCATATCTTGAAAAGGTGCAACATGGATCCCATCAATGTAACCCAGAGGCTAATATGCTGGTTATTTTTGTTGGCCTTTCTAGTCAGGTTGGTGGAAGGCCATAGGCTTTGGTGTTTGAGGCATTCTTCAAAAGGGGATGTGATACCGGATACCCCTCAAATTTTTTTGTCTGTTAGACAGATTTGATGCTAAAAGTTGGTTCCTAATTTTAGTAAATCAGCCTAGAAACTTTTTGATTTCTGATAAATAGTTGAAACTTGATGCAGTTCATACACCTTATGTTGAAATTTGATATTTAACTAAAATCAGTTAAATGTAGAAAATATCAGATTTTGAAGCTGAAGATATTTATTTAAAAGCAACATTTTCATGAATCTAGGCTTATGGTATGTATTAATTACATCAAAGACAGGCAAATATCTCTGTTTCTTTGTATTAATGTATGTGGATGTTTTATTTATTTTTTTGTTTGAAAATTTCTAAAAGTGTATTTTAATTATGTTGAGTGTAAATTTGACAATGCTTTGCATTTATTTTTATTTTTTTAAAACTTGTTGCTTTTGTAAACCTATGAGCAGCCAGTATGATTTGCAGTACCATTGCATTATTTTGGTTATGTACACCTGAATTTCCAGACATTTCAGGGATTACTAAAATGAAAAAAAAAAAACTCCAAAATCAACTCAGCTCAAAAGTTTGTACCCCTTTGATATTGTGGAAGAGAAAAACAAGCAAATAACTTTTTTCTTTAGGTTTCAGTTATGCCAGCATGCTCCTACATGAATTCACTAGACATGCTGAGTTCCAGTTTCAGAGTGTACTATGTTGAATTACATGATATGAATTTACATCTTGTAAAAGTGAGATATGAATAAACTTATAAATATTTGTAATCATGTGTTAAAGGATAGCCCCAATAACTACTACCAAAGGGACTATTGATAACAAGTCATTTCCCCCCCCCCCCCGTTAAAATAGAGCTTTTTCTTCTGTATTTAATGCTTTTTCTTTTTTTAAGCACCTTATATGCTTTCTCCTTGCACGGAATGAATGCAGCACATCTTACTCTGAAGCCATGCCACTTACAGATCTGTCTTTGGTTTCTGTGTAAGTTTTACAAAACAAGGTATAGCTTCTTTTACATCCTATCTATCAGTATATATATATATGTATACATATATATATATATTGTTTGTTTGGTATCCTGTTATATTTTTAAAGGATTGATAATTTTTTTGTCGTGTCAGGAGAAATAAAGGAGTCCTCATAGCGGACCATTCTAGGAATTGTACTTGATGGCCCCAATCTGTTGTCTGTTCAAATCAATAGGAGAGGCACTAGATCAGGCTTTTATTTCCAGGTGATTAAGGAGATTTTCCAACGTCCCTGTTTGTTGGTACATTAGATGTAATTGTCTCCTATAGTTTTATTCTTTCTAGTTGTAATCCAGCATTCTGATGTTGAAAAGGATACCCAGGGAGTCCTCATGCTCCCGTGCACTGTGTTGTTTCATCGATAGCACCAAAGCAAACTGGGCTGGTGGAAGTCTTTCTGCTAGTTTACAGTCTGTGCAGCAGGTCCTAAACTTCCGAACTCATCACAGCTGTTAGGTTAGGCTTGTCTTGTTTGAAAGCCAGTTTGTCCAACATGTATGTAGCATTCAAACTTCATTAGCATTACAAAATGGGTAGTTCCATATCCCAGCTCTTACCCCAAGTCCTCCCAGCATGTCTTTTTTTCTTTCTCGTCTGCAGTTGGCTGTCTAAGCTGTCTAAGCTGAACTCAAAACCTGTTTGTAGCTTTTCTGCCCTTGCATTTTCTGCAAGTATATACATCTATTGGAGCTCTGACCTGGAACATAACTGGAAAGCATTTGGTAGAATATTCCCACATCAGGGTTACTGTTTCTCTCTAAACCAACACCACAAACTGACATCCTGTTTTTCCTGTCATAAGCTATGTAAGAGACAGGCTATTATAAGAAAATTAATCCTTCCTTTCTGTCTCTTAAAGATATGTGGGCAATGAATGGTTGTCAGTGTCATGTACTGTAAGAGCAATCAGAAAAAATATAAAGTGTGTGCTGAAAGCTTAGTTTCACCAGAAGACCATCTAATAGCAATCTTTAAATAATTATGTTTTGACACTGATTTTTTGCCTATTCATATTCAGTTCAGATGTTGAAAAGAGAGATAAGTTCTTTTGGCAATTTGGTTGTTTGGAAGAGGGTTTTTTCCCCTCTTCATTTTTGTTAATTAACATGTTTTTCCAATGGCTACTTGTTCTCTTGATTTTTGAAATCATTAACAGCTCTGAGGGAGGTTTACTCTCTTTTGTCTTTGGGTATATTTTTATTCTTTTTTGCTTGAAAATTTATTTTTAATTCCTTCAAAATTACACTTTGACCCTATTGCCATCAGCATTTTTGGCTGCAGAACTGTCTCTAGTTCTCTCTGTAGGATCTGAATTGAATTGGATAAGAATAAACACAATAATACCTTCCTCATGAATTGTCAGTAAATTTTTTATTTCTTTCCTGAGTAGCTTCTCTCTTAGACTGCTATTTTTTGAGCTGCAAACATGTGAAAAGAAAATCATAAGGTGCTACACAGGAAACAAAACAGGTGTGAATACCTGTGAACTGTGGAAATTTTACCAGTAATGTGTGGTTCAGTTCTATGTTGCTTGCATATCCAAAAGTTCAGTTAAAGTTGGACAGAGATCTGTATACTCAAGCCTGCAGAAGCCACCACAGAAAGACAGATTTGCGTTCAAGGACCGCATGCAAATGACTAGAGATTGGACAACAGAACAAAAGGAATTGTATATCATTTCATTTCCTCAAATCAAATACTCAGACTTCATTACCAATATGATTAAGGGTAGTGATCCTACTCTTACGTTTAATTGCTGGTTTATAATTGCTACCAAGGGGCTATAAAACTACAGGGTCAGAAAGCTGTATCCAAAAAAGGGTCTTAATGCCTCACTCTAAAGTTAGACTTCAGAGGAATTTAAGCACTTATTTCCAAAACCTTAACACAGGACCCTTGGCCACTTCTCAAACTCTACTGAAGCCTGAGGGCTGCAGGTCCCCTAGTTCCACACATTAAATTTCTCCATGAACCTCATGTTCTACTTTTGTGTGTGCCTGGCACCTGACAGGTCTCTGTGGCTGGGTGGCTTGCTCTCAGCCTGACTGAGTTACGAAAACCAGGCATCTGTTTCATCTTCAGATGTTTACAATCAGAAGTCTACATCACAACTTTTCAGTGGAAGTAAGGAGACACTTTTAGCAGATACATCTCTAGTGAGTATATTAAGGTTTGTCTTAGAACCAGACTAGCCCAAATGTAGCCACCTTCTCAGTAGACAGACATGTCCAATTCCATGGCAGGTATCTTCCATGTTCTTCCTTCTTGTGTCCTTCACTGCCTAAATGACAGCAGTTCCGTTACTTTGTTTTCTTCAGAGGGGGGAGATTTCTGTTTACACAATGACTCAGTGACTAGTAGATTCACAAAGAACTTTACAGTCTGGGTTTCCCTGACTTCCTTTGCCTGAATAGATGGAGTAGCTGAAAAGGTAGAGCTCTTGGTCCTGGAGGTATACTTTGCAGAACGTGCTAGACATGGACCTCTTGGATTGGGTTGACTGTAGCTGAATACACTTTGATAGCATAGGAGGCAAATGACATTTCTGCTATGATTTCTGTTCTAACTGGTTTCCCTACTGTGTTTTCTGATATTATAGTCAACTAAAGCACAAATTGGTTTTCTACAGATTCCTGGGAAAAAGAATTATCTTAGTGTTTTCCCTAGGTGGGACTTAATGCAATAGCATTTGAATATTTCCTAAATATGTCAGCTGTGCACCACAAAGTTCCTAGATTTCATGAAGTTTCCAATTTTCCTCTCTTCCTGGTTGCAAAAAGACTTCTTTAGAAGAGCGATATAGATGTACATATACATTTAAACACTAATAAACAAATCCCTCAAAAAATGACAGAATTTAAATTGCCACATACATAACCTTAGGGTTTTTAATGAAGCAATCTCATATGATTCCATCTGACATTATCACTTACATTCTTAACACAGGACCTCTGTTTAAGTTGCTGCATGAGGTAAACCATGCTCGAGGAGCAAATTTGGACTGTGAAGAGAATGAAGCCATTTTCTAAGAATATTCCTCACCTGCATGAGATACCGGTAGGTGTCTGTATGTAGGCAATGAGGGGAAAAAATGGCTTCATCATTGGCACAGTAAATGATCATGTAGGAGAAGCAAATGTGGCCTGCTACTGACTTTCAAGATGATACATTGAAGGAGGTAAGACATATCCAGGATATCACCAACTGTGTGCTTTCTGTTTTCTGGGGATTAAAGTCAGAAGACCAGGAGTTGATGTACAGAATGCTCAGTGTTGATTGTCACAAGTTTAATTGACACAAGCTATGTAGGTTTGGGACTTGGAGGAAGCAGATCACATTACACAGTGATGTAGATTCATGCAATATGCCATTGACTTACAGTCTTACATTCAGCAGGTCATTGTGTCTTTCTGCTTCAATCTATAAAATGGGTTTAATGACACTCTCCTAATGTGTACATAGGAATGTCACTCTCCTAGTGTGTACACAGAGGGACTATGACCATAAATTCATTAATCTTTATAGCACACTGATACACTAGATTTGCATGCATCAGCACAAAACCCATGAGGCAACAAGTAACTCTGTATTCAATGCAATGTTCAGAGGATGTGCAGTAAATAAAGCATGAGGATAAAGTGAAATATTGAGCAGCTGCTTTATTTACTGAACACTGTGCACTGAATAAAGCTGGGGTCTTGTGTAAAAAAAACCCCAACCAAACAACAAAACTCAATTTTATGGGCATTGAAGCCCTCTGATATTAGGGATGGTTGAGGGAAAAGAGTTTAGGGGGCTCTTCTTATTAGGGATCAGTAAGAAGTAGGCTTGCAGCTCACATAACCTTTCAGTGCAGTGTGAGTCTTAATAGTAGAGGAACGCTCGCAGGTATTAACTGCAGCCAACAGTCTGTGCCTTCATCTTAGGCCAAATGATATTTTGAATTGGGAAAAACAGTCCCAGTCCCCTTTTGTTTTCATCCTATCCAGATGTATCCTATTGCACCCCATATACTGTGTTCTCCATCATCACTTTTGATCCGGTGCTGCTGTTGCTGGATATATAACTGTTCAGACTGTAGAAAGCTCAAGGCTGCAAGCAGAATCTAAGCTGGCTCAAACCAAGGGAAACAGCTGGAAGATGCAGAAGCTGGCCACATCTGAAGTAGTTTCATTAGGACATGCACAAGCTCTAACCTATCATTAAAGGGTGAGATGAAAGTTTTATCACTGGATGACGAATGAGGTCTTTCTTCAAGGACTAATTTAATTTAGTTTATATAATTTTTGCCGTCTACGAACATGTATGTGAATACTTGCGGATGAACGGAATTTTCTGTGTATCAGGGCTGTAGGCCTATTGGTCATGACAAAAATTTTGCAGGTGGTGCCAGCCATTATTAATATAGAGAGATTGCTACTGCTCCTCCTGTAGTTACTAACTTTGCTATAAAGGGAAAGCTGTAGTGTTGATAAAATTCTGAACTGCTTCTCAGTGTGGTAGAATGAGGACAGAGTCTGATTTCCTGGGCCTTTTATTTCTGGGCCTCATGTATTTTTTCTTTAGTGTTTGAGACTTGCACTCTTACAGGGACACATAGCTTTTGCTGACCAGTGGTAGGCAGAGATAAATTTCTAATATAAATAGGTGCCCATGGCTTTGGAAAGTCCCGCTTGGGGTTGTCATGGGAGCCAGGGTTTGAACCAGGATGTTGTGCTCTAGGAACCCTTCATCCTTGTTGCTAATGGATTGGATATGGAGCATTTGGAAATGTTCCATTTGGAAATAAAGCATGTCTAGGCCTTGAATGGTGTTTAATACCTTTTCTTCAAGTTCAGTGTTTTGTTCATGGAGAAGCAGAAGAAAGATTTTTTTGCCATGAATACTCTTCCTGAATAAATGATACACTAGATGATACTGTGAAGCTTGGAGTAATTTTGACGGAAAAAAAAAAAGGCAGAAAATAAGTGAGAAGATGCTGCTGAGTTCAAATCGCTTATCTCCTTTATCTTAAATATTCAAGTTCTAGCCTTTTATCAAAACCATATATGTCTCGGGAACTGAGAAAATCAGGTTCTCAGTGCTATGACTGTGAATGTCTCTTTCTGAGCCTCATTCACTTTACCTTGGACCAAATGACTTTTGCTGTTGCAGAAAGGCATAGCTTTCCTTGGTGAGTGATAGCTTCTCTCAGATTGTTTCAACTGCTTTAATTTATCCACTTTCTTAGCTGCTTGGAGTTCCTTTATTCTTTTTATCTGGATGCTTGTTCCACATCCAGTCTTGCTTGGTAACTGTAATCTGTAGTGGTCTTTCTATTAATAGGCTAAACCCAGATTTCACAAGTGTTCACAGATTTTTGAAAAATGACAATAGAAGTACCTCACTGATAGACCAACACTGAATTTTGAAAGAGTAACAGCCGTACTGTTATCATGCACCACAACAGAGCTAGGTCACAAACCAATCTAGTCTCAGCCTGTCATGTGGATTGTAACCTGTGAAGTTTATAGGACCTAGCAAGTCATATCTTCTTGATCTTAGATCTTTATGCTTACATGAAGGAAAAGCAATGCTAGCAAGGATCTGTAAACTATTGTAGAATATCATAATGTATTGCAAATAGAGCTATGTCTTACCTTGACTCAGAAGTTGGAGTATCTTGCTGGTAGCCATCATTCTGTGCTTAACAGTGACTGCTTGTTTGTTTTCTGGTGATAATGAACAAGTTGGTTTCAGTATTGAAAGCCTTGAGTGGCTCCAGACTTATCTACATAAAACCACATCTCTCTTGATGTTTCTATTGGTCAGTAAAGAACAATTACTCTGAAAACCTTCTAGTGTACAGTGGAGGCTGTTGTAAAAATATTTCCTTCATGATCTGCTTTCTGAAGTGGTCCAAGATAATTCCAGTTGTTTGTCCCTTAAAGTATGCTGTGAGTCACATCTGTATACGTAGGCTTTTGGGGATTGATATGGCCTGCTTTTGCTCTGGGTTGATGCTTTGAGGAAAGGTTCTTCTTAAAAAAGAAAGCAAATGTTTAGAATATCCACACATTTTTTACAACACCATGAAGGCTGAGTAGTGCTTGCATACTTCAGTGTGATTCTGTTGAAGGTGCAAGATAACTGCTGATTACATCCTCTTTTTGGTGTGAGTTGCATTTGGTGTTTTGGTTTTTGGTGTGAGTTGCATTTGTTGATACCTCTGTTTTCTCCCTGACCATAGTCAGAAGTGGACTTGGATGAAACTTGTATGATGCTTTTTCTGCTCACTTGTATGTGCATTTGTGGCTTCTCTTCTTGGATGTCATTTTATTTTGGCCGTTACCCACCTGCTTTGAGCATGTAGTGGTTGACAGAGAAGCAAGCTCTGGAAATTTAGTTTCCCCCTTACTGCTGGAAGTATGTTTTCTTTGCAACAGCCTGTTTTCTTCAGGACTGTTGCATGAGACAACCTTAGCATGGGTATGGCAAGGCTGACCCACAGGGACAGTCTCCTAAGTTCCTTGAACTGAATGTTACTTTTGGAAATCATATCTGAGACATTTGAAAATGACACAAACTCTCTGTGCTGCAGGAGGACAAGGTTAAAAGAGACTTCCCAGTTCATAATATAAAATTCCACCCAGCCCTGGAAGGTTCTTTTTCAAGCCTCCAGAGATCACAGGACTACAGCCTAACAGGTATAACGAACACACTTTGGGGAACTTGCCTTTTACTTGAAGCTTTCCTTGTCCCCTACATCTTGTTAGTGAAACTCCTCCTCCTCTTGTTTTATACATTGACAGGAGTCCCAGAAAGGTCAATTGTTTAAAGATTGTATATGTACATGCCATATTGTGTTTATAAACTTTGCGAACTACCATCTCTTGTGTCACTGAAATGTCTGCGTTTTGAGGTAAGTTAGGTTTTTATCATTAATAAGATTGTTATTTAAGTGGACTGTTGTACCTATAATACATATGACTGGAAATGATGGCATTTGCCTTTTGCATGTGAGCATAGGAATAAATAAGTTTATCTCAGAAACTAACTGTAGCTATGGCAACAGATACATGCTGTATTTCATCTTTGGACACATAAGCAGCCATGTTAGAAAATAAGTTATTTCAATAATGGCTTTTCAATAATTAATTGCACAAATTTTACAAGTCAAGTTAAGAAATACTGCCATAGTCGAACTAATGAGCATTAAGTTAATTTTGATACTCAACAGTGATTTTTCATGCAATTAAATACTTTTCTCAGGTTATAGTTAAAAAGCTGCCTGAGAAATATTTCCTAGAGAGCCACTAACAAAAACAAAGTTTGAAGTTTCTCAAGTGGAAATAGGATTCAAACTTTTTATAGCTGTCCTTGTTACCATTTTATATTCATAGTGTCTCCAGCAGGATAACAAATATCTCTAACTACATGTCCACAGGCAGAATGGTTTATAGCTGAATATTTATTAACTAGTACTTAAATGCTTACCTAATTCATAAGCATTTGTGTTAGGGATATGTGGTTCCTACAGGCACATTAGTGGAGTTTCTAATTTAGATTGTTTCTTGTTAATAATTCAAAATAGTGCCATCTTTCCAAAATCTTAGGTATTGTCCTTGGCTGCTGCTTTGCTTGTACCATATCTATCTGAAACTGTAAATCCCTTCACCCTCTTGCAATATCAGCTGCTTCTGAAACTGCAGTAAGAAACATGAGAAAGCACTTTATGTCTTTGCTTATAGTAGTTATAAAGAGCCCAGGCTGCGTGCTAATGATCTCAATAATGACTGATGACTACAGAAGTTTTCGAGAAAGAAGATGTTGAAAGAAGCTAAATAGCAGAAGCAAAAGAGAAAGAAAATGCTAAATCGGACCACCAGCATTAAAACCTGACATCAGCAGCCTGGAATTTTCAGGTGAAATTCATACCTATCCAGAGGATCAGTATAGGATATACACATCAATTTACTCTTTTAAACATGTCCTGGGTTCAGAAGTAGCAGTCATTTTTCTCCTTCTTGGTAGCTGGTGCAGTGCAGTGTTTTGACTTTTGGCTCAGGAACAGAGCTGATAACAATGATATTTTGGTTTGGCCAAGGACTTTGTGAGCCTCATGCTCTGCCAGGGAGGAGGGGAAGCCGGGAGGAAGCAGAGACAGGACACCTGACCCAAACTGACCAAAGGGTATTCCATACCACAGCACGTCACGCCTGGGATGTAACAGGGAGTTAGCCGGAAGGGCTGGGAGACTGCGGGGTTGGAGGAAGTATTGGTCAGAGTTTGGTTGGGCTGGGGTGGCGAGCTATCGGTTGGCTGGTGGTGAGGTGTTGTATTCTCTTCCCTTGTTATTTCCTTTATCATTATTATTATTGGTAGTAGCAGTAATGATTTGCGTTATACCTTAGTTACTAAACTGTTCTTATCTCAACCCATGGGAGTTGCATTCTTTTTGATTCTCCTCTCCGTCCCTCCAGGAGTATGGGGAGGGAAAGAAGGGGGGGAGTGAGTGAACGAGTTGCCTGACTGGGTTTAAAACACGACAAAACATTATTTCAGTAACTGCTAATTTTCAAATTAGCAATTAGGGAGAACTGCAGATTAAAAGGAGGTATAGGTTCTGTACCATTTCACCATGAAGGGGTTAATTTTATCATTAAAGAAGCATGCAAAGAAAAGTAAAGTGAGCACAGATCTGGCTCAAATAGAGACTTTGGCAGCAATTCCAAAGCTAAATCCTTGACTGGCTACTTTCTTTGTACATGTACATTTTATTAGGTTTAACCTCAAATTTGTGTACAAAATTGGCTTGTGCAGGTCTGTGAAAGTTGTACTAGAGCTCCTGAGTGGCTTCTCTAGATTCATCATCCTTCCTGTTTGTCATCCTCTCTGTAAAATGGAATTCCATTTTATATGCTGGACATGCTTTACGATGAGTGTGGTGGAATGAGGATATTCTTCTTTACATGTGTGCCCAGACAGTCTGTAAAGGCCTGAAGGCACTAGGAATGTGATTTCTCACCTCATGAAGGATTACACAAAACTGATTCTTCAAGCACCTTGTCCCCAGTGAGTCTGCTATAATAAACAGTGTTTTCATCTGAAGGGATTCACCATTGTAGAGGAAGAATTTAATATATTCTGTTTTTCTGAAGACATAATTTTGCCTCCTCTTTCACTGCAAAACCCCTGAGCTAAATATTTGTTTATATTTGTGAACATGGTATGTCTGTCTGTGATGCTGGTAGGGCAGATTTAGATTTTGTTCAAATGTTTTGTTATGACAGAAAATTGCATTTATATTTTAAATTTACTATTTCAAAAATAAACACTACAGACAAAATTTTCCATCCTGACCTACACAGCAGCTCTCAACTCCAATAGTCTGTTCTTCCTGCATGAAGGAAACTCCCATTGATGTGTGGATCTGAGAGGAGAATTTTGCCCTAAGGGCTCAATTTTGCTCTGAGATTGACATATGCATATCATCAAAAATAGAATAATCTATGCATTTGAGGAGCTATCAGCAGCTCCCATGCAATGCTGTTGCTCTTGGAGATTTCTAACATCCTACTAAAATGTGTGATAGCGTGGGACCTATCCTAGGTCTAGTGTTTGAGCTAACAAATCCTCCCCCAAGCAGATGAGATTGAAGCAAAAAGATGATCTTTCTTTGTTATTGTATGTCGTGTTTTAAACCCAGTCAGGTAACTCGTTCACTCACTCTCCCCCTTCTTTCCCTCCCCCTACTCCTGGAGGGATGGAGAGGAGAATCAAAAAGAATGCAACTCCCATGGATTGAGATAAGAACAGTTTAGTAACTAAGGTATAACACAAATCACTACTGCTACCACCAATAATAACAATGATAAAGGAAATAACAAGGGAAGAGAATACATCACCTCATCACCAGCCAACTGATAGCTCCCCCCCCCAGCCTGACCAAACTGTGACCGATCCTTCCTCCAACCCCGCAGACTCCCAGCCCTTCCGGGTAACTCCCAGTTGCATCCTGGGCATGACGTGCTGTAGTATGGAATACCTCTTTGGTCAGTTTGGGTCAGGTGTCCTGTCTCTGCTTCCTCCCGGCTTCCCCTCCTCCCTGGCAGAGCATGAGGCTCACAAAGTCCTTGGCCAAACCAAAATATCATTGTTATCAGCTCTGTTCCTGAGCCAAAAGTCAAAACACAGCACTGCACCAGCTACCAAGAAGGAGAAAAATGACTGCTACTGCTGAACCCAGGACATTGTAATTATTCATAATATGACATCTCAGGCAAATTTAACAAATGCTTTTTATTCTATATCACTTCCTTGAGTAGCTCTCATTCTAGGGCTTTCTCAGGCAGGTACTCAGTCAGAATCTGTCTGGCTTCATGTGATTTTTCACATCCTTTGACATTGTCTGAGACCCAGCTGCAAAATATGGCCTTTTCCTAGAGGAATGAGTGGGTTACACTTGATGTAAGAATTATACTTTCATTGAGGCTGGAATAGTACTTCACTGTCTTATTCCTTCTTGGTGTTCATAAATCTAGAAAAAGTTATCTGAGGAGAAAAAAATCATCACCTCATCTCCTTCTTGCACAGCAAGCCTCTGTGGTCTTTTTTTTCCACCTGTTTTCCTCCAGATTTTCCTGCTGTCCTAAATAGTATGACCACTTACCTCTGCTGAGCACAAGTTTGGATAGAAATCATTAGTAATTCCCATTGATTTCCCTCACCACTTCTCGTCTCACCCTTCCTTTCCCATTTGTGCTGGTGGTGAAGTTCTGCTCATCTCAGCTACAATGCATTTCAGGTAGCATTAGCCACCTAACAAGCAAATTCTTAGTCCAAAAATAAGGTCTATGCTTCTTCTAGAGGAAGACACTGTTGAGCAGTTCCCAGCAGTGCCTACTGTGTCCCCTGCACTTTCCCTATGTCACACAGTTCCTCTAAGGACATCGAAAGGGTTCTTCAGAGCAATTGATTAAAAAACTTTTAAAGTGAATGGGATGGCTTGTAGCTCACAAGAACTGTGATGGTATGAATATTCCATTAGTTTTTTAACAAAGGTCAAATGACCACAGTTTGGGAATGCTGATTTATGTAAACAATAGCATACTTCATCCCCAGGGACTGGTTATACAGCTTGGAGTGGGATAGAGCTAGTTCAGTGCCCAAAACTCCTACTAAAGGGGATGGAGGTCTAGTTAATTCAGTCAGTGGAGTGTAGAGCAGATGCTTAGGAACTGACTCATTTACAAAGGGGACATGTTCTGTGTTGCCCGAGATCTCAAAGTGAAGACAGCTGTTTTGATGTAATATGTATGAGGGGCCTTCTGGAAAGGAAACTGGCAGCCTGAAGGGTATACTAGAGTGTCTGAAATGGCAGCTGACTGAACCATGGATCTTCCCATTGAGTAGACTGACACCTTATTCTTTTGTAGGCATCTACATTGTTAACACCTAAGTTTAGGTATCTATATTTTGAACAAAATTCCTCTCCAGAGTCACTAATTCCTGAGCCATGACTAATTCCTGGAATTTGGTCACATTGACTACGACATATAGTATAAGATTAATCTAACAAATTGAGTGGTATTCCTTCTTATTTTGTATCTGATGTTTTCCAACAGCATAGATACTTTAATAAGTAAAACAAATAGCTTATCTTGTGAATACTGATAATAATTTGTTCTTATTTGGATGTTTATATTAATAAATGCTTTTGGAAAAAGTCTCTTTTAAAAAGCATGAATATTTGCAGTCAATGCACCAAAGTGATTCCAAATGTCATAAAAATATATTTCTAGCTGTTACTTGAACCTATGTTCAGGGACCTGTTTTCTCACTGTATGTCTGTGCCTCTCCTTCCTGCTGTAGTGATTCTTAGTTGCTGCTTGGAGCTACAACATAACTTCTCCATGCTCTCACATCTGCTTAAGCTTGAGTCAGAAACTACTACTCCAAACGTTTCAACTTCAAAATGTTTCACAAACATTTAAACTAATCACAGCAATATCCTTCAGTAGGAAATACAACACATTTTACATGTGAGGAAACCAACAGAGAGATAAAACAGTATCCTGAGAGACCACATCAAATCCTTAATCTCTTTGGGTCACTAAGCATGCTGCCAGACAATATGGAAATGTATGAGCTGTAAAGCAATTTGTGGGGTTTTCAAAAACTGTGACTATCTGAGGTAGTGGTTGTGACTAACTCTTACAGTATGCCCACTGTGGGTATGATTGATGATGCTCTCATGCTGTACAGGGGGACAGCTGTGATGGTAGGACACTGACAAAACAATGGCTGATTGTCATACTCCTCACATCAGTCTCCTACAGTGAAAAGCATATGTCTGAAGGTCATACACAAAACAGTGACTTTTGGAAATAATACCTCAAGGTCAACAGATCAGCATATATGCAGCTGAAATATGATTTGGTTCCTCAAAATGGCATAAATGTCAGACTGCACTGTTTTCTGTAACAGAGATGCCTTAAATCAGAAATAGATGTAACCCTCTGAAGGTGAAAATTCCACCTCCTGAAGCTGATAAGGCCAGCAATGAAGCATCTGTCATACTCCTGATAGACACAAGAGGACACTGGTACTAGAAAGAAAAGTTATTTTATACATTTATAGGAATTCAATTCCTATAAGAAAGACCCCCCCCATATTAAGCATAAATGTAAATCTCTGAGGCAGCAAAAACCTGCACTGATAGATCCAGCAGGCTGAGAAAAAAACCTAAAACAAAATAAAGCACAAAAATCCAGAGCCTTTCCTTACGATTTATGTGATGCAGCTGAGTGCATCTGTAGTGGGCACTCATGAAATCACTTTTCATTAAATCATACTTTTCCTGCCTTTAGTTTTTTCCATATGTCATAAACCAATACTGCTTTTCTCTTCTGATCAGATGAGCCGAGTATCTTCTTCTACTGGCAGATGAGACCTCAGGCTGCATCTTGTCTTCCATCATAATGGAATCCACTGTACAGGAGCACTTGAGGTGGCACCTCTTGGTAATCTTTTTTACTACACGAGAGTAATTGGCTGATGCTTCCCAGAATTGTTGGGCTGCTAAGGCTCTGGTAAACCCTGTATATGCCTCAAGGAAAACCGTACATGCCTCGCAGGGGTCCAGGAAAGTAGGTGAGTGAGGGTAGACTACAATGATCAGAAAAATGGCTAATGCTTATAAGAATCCTGTTGCTTGAGGACCATTCCCTGTTCACTTGCCATGAATAAGGAAGGAGCAAAGTTGAACGAATTGTCTAGCAAGGTTGGTGAGCTGGGTATCCCTTTCATAAACCTGGGGCTTAGCTGGAACTTTCTGCAGCAGTTGTGAATTGGAGACTGTGAGCTTCTGAAATCTCTTTTTCTAGGTCAGATTGCCAGCTGCAGAACACCAACATGTTCACTAACACAACTTGTTACCTTGCATCCTGCTTTAGGGCTGGATTTTGACTCTTTACTAACTGGGTTATGAATGTGATGTGACTCAAGGAGAGACAATTTAGCCAATGGAGGCAAAAGTCCACCTGTGGTCCTCAGGTCTGCCATATGTCTCTCTCATTCCAGCACATGGCATGGTCTATGGCCTAGCCTCATTAAGACTACTACTCTCTTCCTGGAGCTAACACGTCTGTTGTGATGTTCAGAAAAAAAAATCCCAACACTGAGAGCAGAACAGAGACCTAATACTATTTTTTCCAGGTATTGTTTCAGTACTGGAAGGCTGATTATCTTTCCTTGTTATGTCGTATATTTTGAATTTTAAGGTAACCTGATCTGAGAACAGGACAGCTTTTCCCTCCTGATAGAAATTCTTCTTTCCAAGCCTTAAAGATAATAAAACTTTCAATGCTGATGTTCATTTATCTTATTTGTCAACATTAGGAAGTGTAATTCTATTTCTTCTTTCAAATCTCTTTTCAGCAAGCTTTTTTTCTCACCATCCCTTCTCTTTATCTGCTTTACCCTCTCTCTTGGTGCTCAACCTTGTCAATGCTCTAGTTCATTCACATTTCACATTGCTGATCAAGGTAATGTGTTTAGGATTACAAAATGTTGATGGGTGTCCAAATGAAGCGGTAATGCTGTAGACCTCTTAATCTAGTGTATTTAATTAGAAATTTCTTAGGAACCCTCAATTCTTTAAATACTTTCTTGAGTGAAAGCTATAGGCAGACACAGTATCCAGTTTTCTTTAAGAACACCAGCTAGGGTAGGGAAAGTACTTGGTATTGATCATAATCAGCCCCAGGAATTCAGGCTCATCTGAGGGAGGGTTGTTCAATGAGCTGTGCAGGTACTTATCTCTCTATGTGAGTTTGACCACAGGACTTTTCTCTAGTCAGTGTTCTCTATATATTACAATTACCAACTTTGACAGTCAGGAATAATTTGTAACTTTTAGGTATTTTTAGAAGAATGGACCCCAGATCATGTTGTTGAGGATATTGCATTATGGAAACAGAAGGATTAAATGATAACAGTGTCATTATTTCTAAATTGCTGAACTTCCGTTCTCCTCTAAAGTTAGTAAGAAGAATGGTAGTAATCTAAGGACTCCCTTTCCTTTCACAGGGCTTCCCATACCACGTAGTTCGAAGTCTAGTCTTTCAAAAATTCTTTTAAAGGCAAACTCTGAGAAAACTTTCAGAGTCAAAGCAATTGACAAAACTATAAGCTTCATTTTTGGAAAACTATAAACTTAATTTTTGGTGTCTCTAGAGTTTAGCTCCAAACTCTTTGGAAGCTTTCCTAATAATCAAGAAAGGAACACAAATTATTCTTGTATTTGAACTGCTTCTAGTAGATTAGAAAATCTCTGCAGTAATCCTGTTTTCACTCAGTCACATTTTCTTTAAAATAGTCCATTGGCAGTAAAAATTGTGTGTCATCTCAGTTTCATGACAAATATGTTTTGAAAAGAAAACTGACATTTGGAAGATTTGTTCAGTCATTTTGCAATTGCGCACGTGTGAGCAGCCAGTAAACTTTTCGAGTTAAAAAAAGAAATAAGATTGTGAGCAAGTTTTTATGATTGAAATGGTGCTAAATATACAGTTATATCTTCAGCTGTTGTAACCACTATGTACCTTGAATGATGTCAGTAAAACCACTCTCTCTTGGTTTTGTTAAGGACACAATGACCTACGCAGGTCCAACTTGAAACAATAAGCTTTCTCACTGACTCAGGAGAATCTTGCCAAAATCAAAAGGGAAAAAATCCGTTAATATTTTTAAGATGTGAGGGTTTAAAGTGATGGATTTGCTCAGGGTTGGGAGGAAAAATTTAATCTGGCTTCTTGTTTTGGATTAAGAAAAGTGCTTCCAGAGCCCTGAGTCTGAGTGAAGGTTGGCCTCACATGGGTCTGTAATAGCAGCACTTCTCTTGGAATCTGTTGCTCTGCAGAGATTATGAGAACATGGAATTTGGAGAAGGAAAGTTTGGCTATGTCAGAGGATAGTTTATTTCCCTGAAAGATTTGAATATTCCATAAACAGAGTATAGACCAGAATTTATGTGTAAATCCCACTGAATTTACACAGTGGGGAGACCAAAACTGTAGTAGCAGTTATTTTAAAAGCCATGAATTGTGAAAATAGAAGATGAAAACTTTTCTATAAATTTTTGCACTGTCCTATAGCATGTTGTTGCTGCACTGTAAGGATTTTAGCCAAAACATGGTTTTCTGAGAACCTGGAAGGAATTATTACGATGATATTAATTCATTGGGTCTTTCCATAAAGGTGTTACTATCCTGGTCTAACCTCAGATTCAGCTTTGGCTTGCTAAATGCCTTAACAAAATCTGATATTATGTCCTACCTTCTGGCAGGAGCTCATGGCCTGATGATGTATGTTTATCTACAGAAACAACTTTGTTTATGTGGTCGGGAGACAAAGAAACAACAGCTTGCAACATTACTCACTGGGTGAGCTCTTGCAGCAGCTTCAGGTTTTTCATGAATTTTCAGATGTGCCTATGCATGATGTTCATATAGAAGATCTTTTATTATCACCTGGCATATCACTGAGGTGAACAACACATTCTCTGCCTTTCAGCATAAAAAAAAAAAAGCAGATGTAACTTTCAGTAATTTTTTATTTATCCCCCCACCCCCCCTTTCTTCTGGCTCTGCTTAAGGCTGTGTTTTGTTAGGTTTTCCAGATGATGCCCTTCTGTCTTCTGGCAATTCTAACCACATGGAATTCAAAGACTGCCTTTATTTATAATGGATTTTCAGACATTTGACAATGTGCTTGGGCCTAGAGTGTAGTTTAAGCCTTGCTCATCATATTCAGAGATCTGTCATACTGAGCATGGATGAGAGAGTCTTAGAAGCAGCAAGCCTGGGATTTCCATGGAGGGTATAATAAAGATGTAGCTAAGGACAAGCAGAGGAAAATATTTCCCACCTTGATGTATCTGTTATGGTATTTGCCTGCTTCTCTTTTATACTGAAGGTGTGAGTTTCTTTGCTTTTTTTATTTATTACTGTACCACTGATCTTGGACCAGATCTGCTAAGACCTGTGCATCTTGAGAACAACAGATTTACTGGATGTGTGCAGGCCATCTGTGCCCTGCATGTTTAACAAGTCCAGTCCTTCCAACAACTGCTAGATTTACTGAACTTGTGCTATGTGGCTTAGACACCTAGGAAATGATGAGAGGAATTGCCCTAGTCCTAGTTCTTCTGGGGATTAGAAACAAGAGAAGTATCTTCCACTGTAGGAAAACTGACCTTCAAGGAGTGCTTCTGCATTCAGGATATTTATTCTGTGGGCTTTGGACAGAAGACAGATTCAGTGACCATGAGAAACCTTAGTATCTGAGAGAGAAATCTGTTTAACAGTTAATATGGCTTCAGGCTCTATAATTCCTCCAGACAGCAAAGCAACCTCTATTGCTTTAAAAACTCCTTCAAGGTGTCATCCTTATCAGCATGGCACTTGTGAACCATTGTGCTAGCAAGCCACGGGGTGTGGGATTGGGTCTGCAGCCCTTACAGGTTAAGGATCCTGGACGATTGGTCTGGTTAAGGGCCGCAGAGCTGGCATAGATACACAGTGATGGGAAATGGGCAAAATACTAGGTCAATTTCTTGTACACAAATTAACTAATTTGTGTACAAGAGGAGGTAACCGATCATGCTAGGAATAAAAAAGAAGGAAGAAATTGTCTCGAGTGGAAGAATGAAGCAATGAAAAGTTTCTCTGCAGGGAAAACTCTGGATGTGAGGAAGATAACAGTAGAAGATGTGAATGACCCCATACTCTTTATCTGCTTTCAAAAGGGAAAACAGAAAATAATAGCTCTGTCTGCAAATAGGTGGTACTGAAGTCCTGAGAGGTTTCTTTGGTTTCCAGTTACTTAGGCAGTCAAAATTAACTGTGAAAATGTTCAGGAGTATTTTGCTCTGAAATAATGAAATAGAAGGGTATTTTTTTTTTTTTTTTTTAGTTTTTTTTTTTTTTTAAGGGAAGTATATTAACAAGGTGAAATCCATAACAGTCAAAGTCTCTGTGGCTGAAGAGAAAACTTTGCAATTTATATGGAGCAAGACCCTATTTACAGAAGAGGTTGTGACTGGGATCTGGAACAAATAATTGGAACATCAAGGATTTACTCCTCACAAAGTAGTTAGAGTTTATTAAAATAACCAGTTTCTCAGTCCAGAAAGAAAGTGGGGACTTAGCTGATAATCCAAAATAGTACAAAGAAAGATGCTTGAGGAAGTTATAATTGGAGTCCTACAAGAGCAGCATCTGGACCTGCAGATGGTGTGGAAAATAACGCAAGCCATAAACTGGAAAAAGGTATGCAATAGATTACATCACTGTGAAATAGTTTGTAAGAAGCAGCATACAGGAGATCAATGACAGCACCATTTGCTCTGGGGGATTCTTCATAAGAGCAATTCATCAGAAGATGAATGGACTATCACCCTGAAAGCAAGTAAGACATTTATTCATTTTAAATTGGATATTGGCGCACATGATGGTGCGTTGATTGAAATAATGTTATCCTCCTGACAAGAAGCAGATAATGGAGAGTCAGGGGAGGCTTACAGGGTAAGCTAATAGCAACTAAAGGTAACATAAGGGTAAATAAAGTAGACAGATACAGTCTGTATTAACTTTATGGAGAAGACCATCCATTATGGAATAAATAATATGTTGAGCCTTTGTTCTCACCAGGATGATGTGCTCACGGGAGAGGACAGGAGGACAATATACCTGAGGAAGCGTTAGAGGACACCAGCTAAGGAACAAGTTGTTTCTGAGCAGAACACACTTTAGTGGAGAAAGTCAGCATCCTTGCAG